AAGAGTGCAAATTGAGGCAAGTCTGCCTTGACCCTCTACTGTGAACTCTTAGATAAGCTGCTAATTTTATGTGTAGAAACACCCAGGAAGCTCAGTTTTCTCTGCTTTCTAATACATTTTTCTCTCTAATTAAACAAGTCTTTCCATTTTGTTGTGCTTGAAATTACCAGGTAGCCTTAGATTTCAGTCACTTCTCTCTATATAATGCTTTACAATTTATTTTACACAATTTAACAGTGGAATAAACGGTATTTTCTATTGTTTGCTGGGTTTTTTGTGCTGTTTTTGAGGTGAGGCATTGCTAGCTGTCTATACTGGTCTCCACTTCATGGCCTCAGGAGATTCCTGTACCCTGGCTTCCTCAGGTCTGGGACTTAAATGCATGTCACTGTTTTACTTAGAAAGTTGTTTTTTATGTGTATGTATGTATGTATGTATGTATGTATGTATTTATGTGAAAACAGCAAACACCAAAAAGTCAGCTGGATCCTTGACATGAGAAGAAAACACTGATCTACCTGTCTCCTTGACCAAAAGAGAAAAGTGGTTTTCTCCAATACTGATATCTCTTTAGTGAGAAATTCAAGCCAGCAACTAACTCTTGCCAGTGTTTGCTGGACAAGAGCCAAAAAGCTCTTTCTTAATCAAAAATATTCACATGGCTAGAGTGATGGAGACAGGAAAGTAGTAGGAATCAGTGTAATTGAAATTATGACCCTTCTTGTGAGTCTGAAACTATGGTCACTTCCCATGAATCTGAAGCTATGGTCTCCTCCTGTGAATCTGGATCTGTGGTCCATTCTCATGAGCTGGATCTGTGGTCCCCTCCTGTGAATCTGGAACTGTGGTCCCCTCCTGTAGAGTGGAGCTGTGGTCCTCGCCTGTGAGGCACAGCTCCACATTCCTGTGATTGGAGGATGGAGGACTTTCTGATGCTGGGCAGCAGTTTCATCCTTCTCTGGGTGGCTGCGTCCCCCACAGCCCCTCCTCCTAGATCCCAGGCTGTGCATGTTGCTGGCTTTACCTCTGTGTTGGGCTTATTCTGGGACAGGGGAGGTTTCTGACTTTTGCTGATTCTAGTCTTGGGAGGACTGAGTCTCAAGAATGGACCTCCTATCTCCCTTGATGGCCACCTATGGGCTTGATTCCACACCTGGTCCTGGGCACACAGGCCTTGACATTAGATCATTCCCTCCCAGGCACCAAGTGGTTTTCTGTCATTTTTCTATTACTCTTGTACAGCCCCAGTGCCCTACACAAAATGTGAGTTACTGAATTGATTTTCTAGAGATAAAAATCACAGCCTGGGAAGTTAAAAATAAAATAAAATACAATTTTATTGGCTTATTTTTATTTTATGTGTATAAGTGTTTTATTTTATGTCTAAGTGTACCACGTGTGTGCAGTGCCTGTGAAGGCCAGAAGAGGGCGTCAGATCCCATGGAACTGGAGTTAAATAAGGCTGTTGGCCACCATGTGAGTGTTGAGAACTGAACTAAGGTCCTCTCTAAGAGCAGAAAGTGATCTTAACTGCTGAGCCATCTCTCCAATCCTGATTCTCTTTCTCCTTTGATGGCCTTGTCTGAATTTCTTCGTCTTGCCTTATTGTAAACCAAGGCACCAATTTGAAATCCTTTCAAATTCTATTTTAGAAGTCACATTACTTGGCATCTTTCTTAGCTTCCAGAAAGGCAATAATGATAGTGTTTAGTATCAACAGATTTCAAAATGATACATGCAGTTCCAACACATTCATAATCATATAAAATAACATACTAACAGCATTAGGATTGTTATAATGGTTTAGTAGTCTTGCCCTTAATTTTAGCAAACTGGTCAAAATCCACTTAAATGTGCTTGGTGTCTTTGGAGCAAAAAAGGAAACACACATGGCCATTATTCACCAACTGGAGTTTGCGTTGCAGGCTGGTATTCTGGGTAGCAAGCCTCAATCTCTTTCTCCACTAAATACTAAAACAATTGCAGTTCACTGTTAATTTTCAACAGCTAGGCAACTTGTTAAACCTCAAGCTAATAGTCTTACGATCTATGTGCTCCCATGTGATTCGTTTAAGAGATCTACTAATGAGATGTGGGGATTTTGGTTGCCACCATGACAGCAAAGACCTATGACTTGTTTCTAGTTCCTAGATACATACAGCAACTCAGAAACTCAGACTGGAACATCTTGCCTTCAGCAGCTGACGTAGTGCTAAAACCTGTAACTATGGAAATTTAGATTCAGACCATGTGGCTAATTTTCTTACCAGACACAGGCAGTCTGATAAATAGCTTGTTCAGAGGCAGTAAAATATGCTGTGGCCCACACATTAATTTGTAACAATCTTTTTATTTAAAAAAATTTTATTCTCAAAAGCCTATACTTTTACCATTCATTCTGCGTGCGTGTGTGTGTGTGTGTGTGTGTGTGTGTGTGTGTGTGTGTGTGTGTGTGTTTGCTGAGGATTAAATCCAGGACCTTGTGCATGCTAGGCAAGTAGTCTATCAATGAGCTACAAGTCCTGTCCTGAAAGAAGATGTTAATATTTTCTGTTTCTATGAGTAGGTGGATTTTGAGTGAGTAGAGAAATTTTGTGAGGTTAAAAATATTTGCTATTTTTTCTTATACATATTTTCTGCCATCAATAGCGTTTTCAGCAATGTTTACCATGTACAATCATCTAGGAGATCTGGAAATTTAAACAGGTATAAGGAAAAGCTCAATTTTACAGTGCTTACAACTAAACTGAGGGATAGCATACAAGTAAAGTGACAAGAGTAAGGTGGTGAAGTGTGTGAAGCTGAGGAGAGACAGTTTCATTAGGATGATGAGACTATTAGGAAACTGGGTTTTGGTCACATCTTGAAGGAATAATTTAATCGTGAGTGGACAGAATGATCGACAGAGAGCATTAAAAGGATAATAAAGCCAGGACAAACACTGATGACTCCAGGAGTTAGTGCAGGCTAAAGCTTTATCAAGAAGCTGGGGTTCCGAAAGGATTTAAAAAAACAAATGTGCTGGGTGTGGTGGCCCACGTCTTTAATCCCAGCACTGTGGAGGCAGAGGCAGGAGGAGCTCTGTGAGTTCAAGGCCAGCCTGGTCTACGTAGTGAGTTCCAGCACAGCAGGTGCTAGGAGGAGACCTTGTCTCAAAAAGACACCCCCACAAAAAATGTATCTTGGACTTGCATTTATCTACTTGCTCAAGTGCCATAGGCTATTAAGAATGTATTCTTCTGAATTTGCTACTAAGATGTTTTAGTTATTTCTGAGACCAAATGTATCATGAATACTTATTATGTGCTTTCTTTGGTTTTCTGATGCCTTGGGCATTCTTTTCCTCTCCTACTGAGAAATTTCTACATTATTTTGTATCCTGATGAACCCTTTTGTTTGACTTTCCTACTTAATCAATCATATTTGGTAAGATAAGTAAAATATTCCCGACTCTGAGTTTGTTTCTTTTTTAAAGCAAAATGAATGCAATAGATTTGATTTAAGAAGCAGGTGCAGTTAAGTGAAAATATGTACACTCGATGTACAGATTTCGCAGATTTAAAAACGGCTTCTAACCGGGCGTGGTGGCACACGCCTTTAATCCCAGCACTTGGGAGGCAGAGGCAGGTGGATCTCTGTGAGTTCGAGGCCAGCCTGGTCTACATAGTGAGTTCTAGGACAGCTGGGGCTACAGGGAAACCCTGTCTCAAAAAGATAAAAAAAAAAAAAGTCTTCAAAAAGTAACCTGTAGTACAGAAACTCAGTGGGTGGAGACTGCAAGCTCGTGACCTGTACAAGGTCAAACCAGTCAAAATACCAGCATGCATGGGGGAAGGGGTCACGAAGTTCCTCCTTGAGCAGCCGGCTGCTAGAGGAGAGTCCGTTTTAAGGGAAGGAGCGTCTAAAAGACTTCCGATGCTCCAGCAGATGCTTCCTACACCAACGCACCTACACAGCGCTAAATGGCCTTAGTGAGTTCTTAGAAAACGAGCACACGAAGTTGGGATGGAAATATGTATGGGTATGGGAGAGGATAAGGGAGGAATTGGCGGGAATGGGGGTGGGTTGGATTAAAACACATTACGTACATGTATGAAATTCTCAAACAATAAAACAGATTATAAAGAAATGAACTGTGCAACAGAAGATAATGCAATTATAATGTTGCGAACTACTCTTTGCCTTGCAGTAATTTTTGACTGATGTTTAGGTCACTTTGGATAATGAAACTCCAAACAGCAGACTGCATTTTTAGTAAAAATAAGTGTAGCATATAACCCCTATAAGAAGCTATGGTTCAAGACGTTTGGAAAAGCGCAAGATTTGCCACATTTCCAGATTTATAGCAAGACGCCAGCAACCAAAATCATCCTCGAGGTCCTGATATCGGAGGCCCGTCTGGTGCGGGGTTCGAGAAGGCAGTAGTTAGGGGAGTGGGGATGCTGCGGGAGGTAGAAGGAACTGAGGAGCGATTCCAAAAGACGATCCCTTAATAAACCCTTTAGATGCTAGGAAGCTGGTGAAGAAAAGATTCCTAAAACTAGAAAGGGGAGCCGGGAGGCAGAGGAGCAGAGGACGGAGGACCAAGGTCACCCGCTAGGACGTGGCAGGACTCTCCTCCAACTCATTCCATTGTTTTTGCGCGTGGCAAGCTCCCCAGGGAGGAGACAGCCTCGGAGGACCTGAGATGAGTCAGGAGGACCCGCGAAAAGCCCTGGGGACCACCTGGAGCGCGGAGCCGCCCCAGCGCCCCGCCGGCCCCGCCCCCTTGGAGCCCCGCCCCCGAGTGCGCGCTCCCCTCGGGAACCTGCGTTTCCGCCCAGCGCCCCGTGCACGAGCCCTAGTCTGGAGCGTCCTCTCGGAAGGCCCCGCCCCCGGAAGGACCCGCCCCTCGGAGTCCCGGCCTTAGGAACCGGGTTCCCGAGCGCGCACTCCCCTGGTGAGCTTGGGCTTCCGCCCCTACGCCGGAGGCTTCCTGCCCCGAGGCACGCGCCGGGTTGTAGCGTCCCTTGGAGCCCCGCCCCCAGGGCGTTCTGCGGCAGGCGGGGCGTGGCTTCGGCGGCGCGCAGTACCGTCCAGTCTGGAGCGCGCGGCCTTCTGCGTAGCCGGGCGGCGGGGGCGCGCTCGCTCGTCCTCACGCCTTCTCCGAGCTCTGTCACTCCCGCCGACTTCACGGACCCAGCGCTGCGGGGCCTGACGGCGCTGGGGATACGGCGCGGAGGTGAGACGGGCGCGGGGCGGACCAGGACGAGTGGGGTGGTGGGGTCTGAGGAAAGGTTGTGGCGGGCGGCCGAGGGCCTGGGAGCCGCGTCGTCTGCCCGGCGGTGGCTGATGGAGGCCTGGGCTATGATGGCGGGGGGCAGTCAGTGCCCGCGACGCTGCAGTTGGGCCGGAGCGTCTCCATCCTCAGCTCCGGTTTCCCTGCGAACAGC